GGGCCTATTTTTAACAATACCTTTTTGGCCACAAACTTATTACAGCTTTCACAAATTTATCGTCTTATAAGAAAGAAGGGGTCATAAAAACTATTCGTCTTCTACAAAGGCTGCCAAATCGTTGTGGTTTGACGTACGAGTCAATGGAATTTGTGTAAAATTTTGCTTTACCGGAAGTGGATTTTGAGCTGCGAACGGGCAAAACGAGTTTTCTCGAATTTTAACAAAAGAATTCCTTATTTGGGAAAACTAACTACAGCATGTTTCATTACTCATTAAGGGTCATCGATGAGCCAAAAATGAGCGAAATTCGAATTTTGAACTTGTGCCACAAAAAGTCGATTTTGGTCGATATTTACAGACAGTCGCTCTTAATCTATTCCTTGGCATAGAAAATATTAGCGCGAAGATAATCAACAATATTTTGGTTTTCTTTTTCATTCTATCGTATTCACGCAGATGATTTTTTTATTGTTGCTTTGAACACTATGTATTAATTCGTTCCCTCCTTCTCAAGGTCATTAATCACGAAGAGAAATGTATCTTGTTTCATATGTTTCAGATATGGTTTTAATTCAAGAACAGTGTCTTTTCTGCTATATTGTAGATAGTAAATATCTCATTATTTATCCACTCTTCTCTGAGGGTCTTTCATGGATAATTTACAACACTGGTGGGGGGACATTTGCCAGACTGCTTATCGTGCTCTTTACAAACTTGTAAGAAAAAAATGAGTAATGATGCCTTCTAAGTGAGGGTGAATTTGAGATTGACCTTCACATTGGGGAATACATCCCCTACTCTCTTTACGAACAGTGTGGGCTCTTTAACATGTTTAACGTCCCACAAACTTGAATTAGACGCATCCCCGTAAACGCCCCATGTTAATTGGACACCCCGCCTAATAAATTTCTCCAAAGTACTAGGAATAGGGAAATAGAGCAAAATAATTATTCAATTCATTCTGAGTTTCTTGCTACCCTGGCTCCAGAGGTCCGCTCTCGAAATACCTCTAGGATGAAAATGATGAACCGTGCTCGGTTTGATAAAGCTCCCGCGAACTATCAGAAATTAGGAAAGAAAAAAAAACCCTCTGGCACCAAGGGTAGTTTCTTGCTTGATTATAACAAAAAATTGTAGGTTGCTGACATCGAAGTTAAGATTTGAAAAAGGGAAGAACCAGATCCGCTTTATTGATGTTAGCATCATACAGATTGCTACCTGCTTCAGTGGGTTCAGTTAACTCTGTTTCACCTCGTTCTCTTCCATCTAGCGGTTAATTCATAAAACAGCCTCTGGTTAGTTCGAAAACAGTTGATTCTGTTTGGACTACTGACATCTCTCTGATCTCTCGTCATATCTTCAGTTCCACCTGCCCAGCTGGAACATAGTGCACAGTACCACTTTCCTCGAGAGAATATTTTCTGTTCAACCTTTTCCTGTCTCTTTGCTATTATTATTATTATTATTATTATTATTATTATTATTATTATTATTATTGTTACTGTTATTATTATTATTATTATTATTATTATTGATTATTGTTATTGTTTTTGAACGCCGCCTTTTATGCATTCTGATTCAGTCTATACTACAGGATATGCTGATGCAACGACACCGTAGTGGATCGGCTAATATTGCCTCCCAGTTACCAAAGTAGGAATGACACTACTGTTAGTTATGGAAAACACAGCCATACAGCTCAACTCGCATGGATATATGCTCATTCCACGTTAACACAACAAATCGCACGTATCTGGCCCGGAATTTTGCAGCATGTGACACGATTGTGTTTCGGTCAGTATTTCCAGTGAAAACCTGAAAAGAGAATAAATACATTCGGCGAAAACGTTCACTTGTAACCAGTCCTTTACTGATAGTTACGTTTAAATAATTGCACAGAAACCTCTCTATTGCTCTCACTGAAGGCAAAGTCAAGTGGCTGTTATGGGCGGGGAGAGGTTAGTGTGTGATGACTCTGACACAGATTGGATGAGGCAGCGTGGCCGATAGGTCAGCGCGTTGGACTCCCAATCCGGCAGTCCCGGGTTCAAGTCCCGCTCTGGCCACTTGTTGTCAAATCCTCGGCCACGCTTGTAGCCAACTGGTTGCCTCCCACCAGTTGGGGTTTTTAATCCTCCGCTGTTTGGATTATTTGTTTCTAATTATTTAAGTAGGGGGCCTGTAAGCTAGCTGGATGAGCTAAGCGTACTTTCCACTATAACCATACCTTTAGCCTTTTAACCTTTCAACCGATTTCGGTGGAAAGAGATAGGAAATCTTTATTTAAAATTCATTTTCTGATTATAAATGTATAACACAATCATACACAATCGAACAGATACGAAATGTTTTAACATTTTAATATTCTGAAGGATTAAAAGAAATTGGCGATGGCAGGTGGCGATGGCCTTTCCTCGTATGTGAAAGATTCCTCTTGAAAAAAAAGTAAAACAGCATCGCATACCTTCACAAAATCATTTTCCTTGTATTCCTCCCATTTATAGTTGTGTGAACTAAACAAAATTTTGTATGACGTCACCCATTGACGCCACTCTGGGGAAGGCCTCCCCTGTGTAGCGAGTTTTGTCACCAGCCTCTCCTCCCCGAGATCAATTTGTAACCACTGGCCAACTTCATTCGATGCCGCTGACCAGGAGTCCCAAAACATGCCAACTGGAACATTATTTAGACGAGCTAGCCAAGATTCGTGTCCAGAGTGCGGCCATACCGAGGAGGTCGTGATGGCTGAATTCGGCAAAAGGTTATTTTCCATTCCAAGTGCATGAATACTACATTCTGTTAAGTGATCCAAACAGAAAAACGACATTATTTGCAAACATTTGGATCAGCAAAGTATGTAAGTTTGACTCCGTTGTGAAACCGATGCTTAAGTAAGGTTTAGTACTTGTTCTCGTTAGTGCGAACAGCTCGATTGAACTCGATACGGAAGTCAAATTTGCGTCGGAAAAACTGTGAATATAATGTAGAGTTAAGGCCTGTAGCTCTAGCCCGGATCCAGGGGCAAAGCTGGAAAAGAGATAAAGCAAATAAGTTGAATAAATGGTATTTCATTTTGCCATTAAGTCAACAAAATGCCAGCAAAAAATACTTGGCCATGACCCAATTTGTGTCTATCATAGTTTCGAAGTGCTGCATCACAAGAGTGATGAAGAGCAAGGGTGGCGCAGTGGTGAGAGCACTCGCCTCCACCACATGTGGCCCGGGTTCGAATCCTGGTGTCGACGCCATATGTGGGTTGAGTTTGTTGTTGGTTCTCTCCTTTACTCCGAGAGATTTCTCTACGGTTACTCCGGTTTTACCCTCTCCTTAAAAACCAACACATCCAAAAAGTTCCAATTCGATCTGGAACGCACGGACACGTTTCAACGAGCTCTTAAGAACTCCTAATTGCTCCGTGGATAAACAAATCATAAATTTAGAAAAAAAAAATTACAAGGTTATTTATGTATACTTTGCGCGTGTGTCACTAAACCTTACCTACGCACTTCGATAGAAAACAAATCAAATTTTTGCCACATTCTGAGTCTTTGTTGCAGGTGAGGGGTCTTAGAGTGTTCTCCATGTAGTTTGTAAATGGAACTTGTCTCATATCTTCAGGGTGGGAAGCGTGCGTTTTGTCATTCAGCTCACACCATCTGTTCTTCCGATAAAAGTTGCTGCTATGGCAACCGGGATGTTCTATGCACCGAGAGATGCAGTGTTCAATCAGCTCTGCAAGTCCGGCCTTGATGGTGTGGTTTATAAGCACGTGATCTTGTACGGAGTAAGATGCTGCCTTACACTGACTTGCAGTAGTTATCTTGAAAAGCCAGCAAGTGAGCGTGTACAGAAAGATACCGGTGAGATTCATTTCTGGCACTAAAAAAGTAGTTAATTAGTTATTACAAACTTTTTGAATAACCTACTCTATAGACGAATCTTTACTGACGCCATGTTTACATTTCTGTTCATTAGGATATGCGACCAAGAGAGATTTTGTCTCTTGATGCGACTTAACCCATGGAGGGCGTCTCCGTATATAATTATGCTCAATTCCCCACAACATCTACAATCATTTCATCGAGCTCTTCATGCCCAGTTTCAATTCGCAAAAAAAAAAAATAAAAAAAAAATAAGATGACCGTGAGGTTGAATAAGGAGGGAGAAAATTCTCGAACCAGTGACTTTTTCGGACACTTTGGCCCTGGGGTGCAACCTGTGGTAGTAGCCAACTCGAAAACTTGTCTCCTTTGGCTGCTACACACTCTTCCTTTTTTTATGTTTAATTCAATGTATAGTTAGCTCTGTTTTTTACTTCTTCCTTTTTTTTTCCTTATTGTTGTATTGTAATTGAATAAGTGTGAATAAATGAACTTGAACTTGAACTTGAGCTGAAAATCAAAGCAAAGCTAAGGCAATTCACTGTTTAAAAGTCGGTGCACCTGGATCGGTGCTCAGTATCGAAGCGTTTTTTTTCCTGCTTTTACAGGTGCTAACATTAAAAAAAATATTCATATAATTAAAAAATCGGACACAAATATTAATGCGGACTGGTTGTCGAAGTCCATCTTGACTTATTTTTCTGCACCAGTAGGTTTTTGATGATTGGCGAAGAAAGCTTTTTTTTTCAGTTTTTCTAAAAGTTTGTAAGATAAAGTGATAAAGTTTTCAAAGTTGCCTCTCTGGTCCGTTGTACTGACATGTGTTTTTGATCTTAGTCATTTATAACGATTTCACTGTAAAGCAATAACGACTTTATAAGTCTCAACGACCTCCAGTAGCTTGACACAAAGTGACTCAAAGATTTGGTGGATGAAAAATGTAACCTTCTCAGCCAAAAAGCTATATTTTGACTCTGCTTATTCAAAGCAAAAATAAATAAAAACTAATTTAGTGGGACTCTCTTTTGGCCTCAGTTGATTAATCAGTTAAGCCACCTCAGTTACATATGTTTTTATGACTCACCGACGGGAAAAAATAGCCAAGCATCGAATATTATTCTTGCTTGTTTGATTATCATCTACGTGATCGAAATAAGAATTTGCGTTGTCCCAAAAGCAATGAACGATCAATTATTAATAACTTAAAGATAAAGCCAGTGCTCTTTAGAATTTTGTGAATTAAGTTTTTTATTTACATCATAACCATTCTCTGTATGAACACTGGTAAGGGATAAAGGAAGAATAGACAATGATGCGCAATTCTTTCCAGAAGGATTAAAAAAATCTAAGAAGTTTTGACCCAGGTTGCGATTTTCAGCGCAGCACACGTTGCAATGCTGAAACAATGTTGTACCTATTCGAAATAATGTCGCAACAATGTTGCGAATCATCTCGTGTAACATCTTGACAGTTCTTTATTCTGCTGCCTGATGAATTCTTCTGAAACCGTTTAAACCTTTTTGTCTATTTTTTTGTATTTTTTTCGGGGGGGGGGGGGGGGGGGGGAAAGGGGGTTTCAAATTATGTTTCTTCACTCGTACACAAATAAAGATGAAGACAGGCTTTCCGGGCCAAGTAGAGATCCGCAGACGGCAATAATCAATACTGCGTTCCAGCTTGACGAGGAGGTTAGCACAAACTATTCGGTTTAGTCCTTTAGCTTCCAATATTTCTACCGACTTATACCTTTTTTGTTTCATTTTCTTTTTGTTTTACATGAGTTTTGCTAGAGTAAAAGTTGGTGGACTTTCGCTGGTGTTTAATCCTACAAGTCACGTTATGCGGATCTATCTTTTGAAGGGGCCCGGCCCGACTAAAGTCTACTATGGTTTATTTGGTTTGCGTAAGCCTCTTGTTTTTTTTTTTTTGGCATACCTCTGGTGATGGATTTTTTTTCCCCTGACATACAAAGCCGTTGTATGGTAGGTATTTCCTTGCAACTGCATCAAAAGTTTCTAGTGAAAGTAAATTAACTTGTAAATCAAAGAAATGGCACTTCATTAAAAATGAAAACAATGGAAATAAAATGAGAGGGAAGACTTTATTGAGTTCAGCTGTGAGTTTTTTGTTAACCTTTAGATTTTCGACCACCAAATAGGAACAAACTAGAATTCTCGGAAATCAGCCTGCAAGAAAGCAATTTATGCTAATTTATGCGTCAGTCCGCTGGATATGTTTTGCGTGTTGTTGTGTTCTCATCCTTTTCACGCGAGAATATCCAAAACACTGGTACAACTTCAATTTAACCATCTCAGCTGTGATATTGTCAGGCTTTACTCGAGGGTAAGTTTTGCATTTGTCATTGTGAGCATTTTATTTATGGGATACTGAAAACAAGTTGTCTTGTTCGGAATATGAACGCCGCAGTCAAACGGAGCGTCTGTATTGACAGCGAAAGTCAGCGTTTACTGTACTGTTGGTGCCATTTCTGCTGCTTTTCCGTAAAACTTGCGTTCATTTGGGTTTAACTCTTTTTAAAGTAAGTTCGGCTGCTCCGTTCTCGCAATCAAAGTGCCTAAACAGCAATTTTGGTTGCTTGCTTGCGAAATGTAGCCCTAGTTGTTTGATATTCCAATTAACGCTCGCTATCCAGTGGTCTGGTTCGTTTTTATCTGTTCATGGTGTAGCGTTCGAAAACATGGCTTCATCATACTTAGCTTGTTAAATACATATTTTCATTCTTTTCAGACTGATTTGAACTATGGGTGAAGGCGACGGCTATGGTTGTAAAATCTATTTTCTCATTTCACTCGAGGGAATCCTGTTCTTGCTGCAGCTCGTAAGTGAAAGCCGAACATGGTTTCTTTCGTGTTGTTTTATTGGGTACTTTCGATTGTTTAGAGGATTTCTTTGGGTTCGATAGTTGCGCGACGTTCAGTAACCTTTTGTAAGTTAGGCATTTTTTTATGTCTGTGATGTTATTTTAAATATTCAGGCAATTTGAAAATCATTTGTTTTATTGCCGCACCCTCTAATCCACAGGCAGCCTTTTGTACATGGCCAGTGAGCTGAAAAATTTTCCAGTTTCTTAGTAAAGAGCATAAATGTTGGACCTGATCTATAGAGAGACTTAATATCAAAATAATAGCAAAACACAGAAGTATGTTTTACTGCCCGATTTTTAACGGCCTTAAATCAGATATCTGGAAGAGAAAATCACATATTTTGGCTATTTACAACAATTATCATTTTAAAGTAATGCACTGATTGATATTCATACGAAGCCATTTCAACCCTGTTGGTGTGAAAATTTAGTTTTTCACAATTCGGCAGTGCTGTAGTTGGTGTATGTACAGCTCTTTGCCCATCAACATATTAACCCATTGATTAACCATTGACATGGATCGAGGAGAGTAGTAGTAACCCAATTGGATCACTATATGACTGTTGTATTATAACTTATACATTATTACGATTATTACTATTAGGAAAATGTAAACTTCAAGTTACAACAATCAAGGTACCCTAACTGGTTGCTAATTAGAAACATTTCTCTAAAGCACTTGTATTCCATTACTTGATGCTCTTGATTTTAAAATTGTTGTTAAAGGTGATATTTCAAAGAGGAGTACCTTATACTAAAAATAACATTCCTCAAGTTGATTGTTAGTTACTGACGAGGTGCAATATTTTATAACTGTGCCTGCCAAGTCATTAAATCTCTTTTAGTGTCTTTGAGATATGAGTGACTCATATGAAAATTGTTTCTGCCTCAAAAAGAAATCAAGTTCATTAATGTGCAAAAATGAGACAAAAGAAAGAGATGTACTCACAATAATAATTTATTATAATTGTGATACAGGACTATATGTACCTTAGTATTTTTGAAGTGTAAAAGGCTTTCATCTTCAGCATTGAAGCAGAAAAAATATATAGGTTTGTCTGCATGCAGTAACTATATGCACATATATATGCTGACAAAGTTACACTGCAACATTTTCTATAAACTTATTATAAGGTTGTTTGGGTTAACAAAACAGCAACTGGTGGTGGTTTTCAAACAACAGGTGGAATGATTTCGTTTTGTTACAGTACATGTATTATTTTTGTGACCTATTTTTTAAAGTAAGTGAAGACATGCTTATGACTCCCTTGCTAAATTGCAACTACCTGTACCAAGAATGTTGTTTTTGTCCCTTGGGTCAGTTTTTTTTTTTGCTTTCCTTGAGTTGGATTTTGATCACAATCTTTTACTTTACTAAAAATGTTGATATGCAAAACCAAGAAAAAAGTAAAGTGAGATTTGATCCAGCAGTAAATTTTTATTAAAATTGTATCTAAGTTGCTCAATAACCTTTCCAGGTTCACAAATAACAATAAAAACAATTTAAAAAAAACTCTGGACTTGATGAGTTTTATAATAATTAATTGTAATTTATTGAAATAAATTATTTACTTTTAAGGTTCTTGGAGTCATCGCTTTTGCATTGGTTTTGAGTCATGAGGATTCTAGTTTGTTTTCACATTATGGCTTCTTTATTGTGGTCAGTGCCCTGTGCTGGATTGGTGCCTTGTTAATTATATTCTTCCACGTGATTGGCTGTTGTAAAGTCAAAATACTGGGTATCTGGCAGAGAGAATATTCACTGGTAAGTCGAGACATCTGCAGTTTTAATGAGTTATGTTTACCCTTACTCTTTCTATCCTTTACCGATACTTTCAACTTGAGCTACGTGTACATACATGTACAAATTGAAATTAGTGAAATCATATATTGTTTTAAAATTATATGCAGTTAAAATCATATCAGTAGAATTAATATTTACCCAAACAATGTCACTTTCAAAACTTAAGAAATCAATAATTCATAAAAACTTACAGTTTCTTTAAGGCTTAGGGGAATAAAACCAAGGAAAATCCCATTGAGGTTCAGGAATGAATAACTGATTTCTTTTGTTTTATTTCCCTACAGGCAGTTACTTCTAGCTTTAATATTACTGTATATCTCACATCTTAATTTGGTCATCCAGTCATACTGAAAGAGTTAATTTATTATAATTTTAGCAGGTGTACATAATAAAAATAAATGGCAATTGTGGGACTGCATGTAAATGGAGATCTGTTGTGACAGTTTCTAAATAATAAATAAAATAAATGATGATTTGGAGGTGGCACATCCACAAAGTGGTTCTTCATCTATCTGATTTCTGGTTGAATATTATTGGAATTTGGAAATGTTGGGTTTTGAGGAGATGGGAAAACCCGAGTACCCAAAGAAAAACCTCTCAGAGCAAGGGAGAATCAACAACAAGCCTGCACCCAAAAAAACTTGTGTATTACATTTGCATTCTCAAAATCAGTGTTTTTCATTTATGCACACATTATGCATTATACCATCCCATAGAACACTGCCGAGATACACAAACACAGGGCTTAATGCATCCTTGGGATGAAAGAAATTTACTAGTTTATCTCATATAAAATAAAATGAGAAGTTAATGGGAAAATTAGTAACTTCCCAGAGAGCATGTTGAGGCTTTATAGAAACTTAGGATGCATGTACATGTATTTCTTTAGTCATAGTGCAAACTCAGTCAAAACCAAGAATAGTTAAAATTCCATAATAGCCAATACTATGCTCTAAGAAAATTTTGTGTTTAGCTCAAATCCAGGCTCAGTGCCTTGCACAGTCATTTAATGTCTGTGCAAAAACTAAAGATTTCCTTGTCACTTGAGGGACAACAGCCCTGATGCAATTACCTAAACAGGCTGCTGAGGCTGAAAAATTAGTTTCAGTGTATTGTCCACTACTACAGGCTAATGGAAAGATATTTTTGTCTTTTAGTGGATATTTCTGTTGAGTTATTCCCTGTCATACTTCTTCTTCTTCCTGTTCTCATCGGCCCTGCTGTCTCAATGGACTCAAGGTTCAGCCCAGTTTATTATTGCTGCGGTAAGTTCAGATGACTTCATGTTTTATGAATTTGTCAGAACAAACATGTATTTCATCGTAAGAAAGCCTGCATTTAACTGCAGACATTAATAATTCAATATCACTAAGATTAATTGCAGATGGATCTACATATTATGTTGATATTCAAAGTACCGTTTGAGTATAACTTTTTGCGAAGACTTTGCCGGCACATATTTTAGGGGCACACCTTTTAATTCAGCATTCTCCTACCAGAAATGTTGCACCTGAAAATGAATGAGATGTCTAAAAACACTGAGTTGAGTTCCAGCATTTTATTTAGTTGAGTTGTTTGAATGTAAATGTGCAGTGTGCTATTATCACTTCCTTTCCACTGATATAAAGTGAATTAACTGTGTTTTTCTTTTCTTTTTTAGATCTGTGGCTTTATTTTGGCCATTGTATTTTTCATCCTTTGCTTTATATACTACCGCCGTGTCAGGAAAATCAGACTGACAGAGGTTGCTTGGGAAGGTGACAAAACAAGAACCTAAGACTCAACATGTTAGATACAGTCATGTAGAGGAGATGGGAGTTGATCAACCCATTACACTTGGGGTGCGAGCCTTTTTTAAACACGTGTAGAATCCATGCTGTACAAATGCTTATTTTGTGAAAAAGGACATGGAATTTTGTTTATATGGTAGTTTTTACAGTACTGTTTAGTGGCAGTATACTGAGGACATAATTTTTGTGAAAGTATTGCATTTATTTACATTGTAGTGTCTTTGTAGCAGGGAAAAACTATTTTTATTTAAGTATCTATAGTTCTCATACAAGTTTTAAGCGACAGGTCTGTGACTTACTACCCCTACATGCTAGCCCGAGCCCCCTGGCTAAGCTTTGACAGTTTTTTGTGAATAGAGATATGTTGCAATGCACCCTTCCAGGAGGGCCAGTTTTGTTTCTAAAATTAAATTAAATCATACGGCGTTTCCATTCAAATGCACTCTCTTGTGCAATATTTTCAGCTTGTTCTCTTTCAGTTTTTTTTCAGCATTTTACACATTTCTGAACTGAAATTGAGAATTTGTTTTTGTTAGTTTTGCCTATTGGCCACCTCAAGGAGTGGAATGGTTTCTTCATTAACTAAAATGAATTAATAACTGACAGTGTTTTTCAAACAATTTTTCCTAGTCAACCTTTTTTTAAAGTTATTTTTCCATATTTGATATTACTTTCATTGTTGAGTAAAAAGTAAGAAGAGGGAAAAAAAATGGTTAGCCACAGTAGAGCTTCCAGTCCTGTTGGCTGAAGGTCGGTACACACTAGGTGACAAGTTGCAGCAACATGTCGCCACGGCAGGGCGCAGCAACAAATCGCTTCGTGTATACTGGAGTATTTTTGTGCAAATCTTTGCTCTGCAACAGAATTCTGTCGCAGCAACATGTTGCAAAAAATCAAATCAGACAGAATTTGTGTGACTTGTCGCGGCAACAAAATTCTGTTGCAGAGACAAAGATTTTCACAAAATTTCTCCAGCAGACTCAAAGTGATTTGTCTCCACGATGTGTCACAACAACATGTTGCTGCAACTAGTCCTCAGACCTGTACAGACGGAGTGATCTGTCGCCATGACTTGTTGCCTAGTGTGTACTGACTTTTAAGCTTGGGTGCCCTATTTTCTTTTACCAAAATCTTAGAGTTGTATTCATTTTGGAAAGAGTGTGCTTGCAATGAGTTACTTTGTCTGTATTAGACTTGGGATAATTCATGAAGCAAAATATAGTGTATTTGTCTTGTACATAATGAAGCAAACTTATGACAAAAACTGTTATTGAGTTAGCACTGAATACACTTTGACCAGCTAACTCTAAGTTTGCAATAAATTGTGCTTATATATGACCAAGGTAATGTCCAGTACAAAAAAAACACCCAGTTTGCCTACTGTATTATCATTTTTATTTCTAGGATTGGACAAATCAATTAAGTCATAATCAGTGCTTTTATTAAAAAAAAAGAAAGAAACGTATGTAGTTAGGTGAAAAAGTGTAGTTTCACTAGAAAGTAGTATTTTTAGAATTTAATAAAGAAAAACGAACTACGGGCTCATTTAACACTGTTCAAATAGTGTTGTTGTACATCTCTGTTCTATCTTGCTGATCTTTTAAAGCCTGCGAGGAAAGTTGGGGGATGGGGGCGATTAAGGAGACCTCTACGTGGTCAGACGTAAGGTTTTCCAGGGATGCAGGTACTGTATTACTGATGGTATGTTTTATACAAGCGATACCTCCCCTCGCCTCTCCCTTGCCCCCCCAGCCTCCCCACTCCGAAGTCTTCGCCGTCTTAGAGGGTGAGAAAACACCACGACGTGCTAAAATAGCGTTTAAAGGATAGGAATTAGTAAGACAAAGACATCGGCTGACAAAGACATTACAAAGACATCGATATCTCTGGAGTAGGTATGCACACTTTGAAAATGGCAGTTTTAGTGTACATACAGTTCTATCGAACTCGCGATAAAATCAATTCCCATTCTAATTCTTATACATTTGCCGCAAGCACTCTGTTGTGAGCTGGGCCTCCTAGTGTTTTTAGCAGCCTTTTGCGGTGGGAAAGACAAAAAAAGCGTAAGCGTTTCGGATAGGTGTATCCTCCTGGCCATGGTTGTTCAAACGTTACATAGCGCTACCCCAAGATAAATCACCATACAGCGGATAAGCAATTGAAAAAACCAATTGCGTTATCCCATGTGGCTGGAGAGAAACGAGTGGATATATAGCGCTATCCACCTTTTGAACAACTCGGGCCTGAAAGTTATTCGCTCCTAATAGAATAGTAGAGATAGTGCTCTTAAGACTAGGAAGGAAAAGGGGTGGGGGGGGGGGGGGAAAAATGTGGGGGCTGTTGTTTTTTAGGGCACAACCGGGACCCTATATAGATATCGGGGAAACGCCTCGTGTATTTTGCTCGGAGTTTAAGTTTTGTGGGCCCTTACTTTCACATTTGGTCCCCAGGGGAAAATACAAAGCGCACGCTTGGCCCTCTTCTCAAGGGGTCCAAGGGCTGTATGCCACCCTCTAGATCAAAGTACAGCCAGAAAACAAAAAAAAACAAAACAAGGAAGCAAAACAAAAAGAAAGATCGTGTGTGTTCGAGGGGTGGGGGGAGAAGAGAGGGGTAAATACTCGCTACACACCCGTATGATGTAGCAGGGGAGTAGTAGTTTTAGGGAGGAGAGAGGAGGGAGGAGGGGGGTGAAAAAGGGGGGGGGAGGGGGGGGGGGGGGGGGGGGGGGGGGGATAAATGTGAGGGCTGTTGTTATTTAGTGCACAACCGGGACCCTATATAGATATCTGGGAAACGACTCGTGTATTTTGCTCGGAGTTTCAGTATTGTGAGCCCTTACTTTCACATCTGGTACCCAGGGTAAAATACACAGCGCACGCTTGCGCCTATACTGAATGGGTTCAACGTCTGTATGCCACCCTCTTTTTTTTTTTCAACCTTTACCGTCGTCTGACCGACCTAAGTATGTGGCATTTTGAAATTCTTAATCGTCTGGGCCGGGTTGTTCAAAGGAGAGTTATAAGATAACCAAGGGTTAGTGCGAAATTTTAATTCAGATATGAAAGGGTACGTAAAAAGCAAATTCAGTTTTATTCTTTCTGTCTACAAGTAATATTTTGATGATTGGATGCTCTAAAAAGAATCGAGAAAATCATCCAGGAAAATGCTTTTGAACAAAAGACAAAGAATCCCAGGTTAAAATTTAACCCTGGGTTAGCGGTAATCAGCCTTCGAACAACTGGGCCCTGGACTGTTAACTCCAAACTTAAAAGCATCAGATGGGCATTGCCAAACGTTACCTTTGAAAGATGTTCTAAATTGATTGCAAAAAAAAAAAAACCGAGATACTAAGTACTTATTTAATTTGCATGGCAGTTGAAATTAATGTGAATCTGAAAACGAAGCTTGAGTTGACCAGTTTTCCTGACAATCAGCATCTCCACACGCCGAAGCAGCTTTGCAAGCTTTAAGTACTGCGTCTACGTATTGCCGCCTGTTATCATCTGACTTCTGATTGTTAGGAGATTTTGTAGAAGCGGGCTTCTTTCTCTTATCAATAAACTCCTTGACCATCTCTTCAGTAGGATATTTTCCATCCACGATGGCCTTGATCGTCTGCTGCACAGTAAACCCTAATTTCTTCACGAGATCTTTCCTCGTTACATTTTGTGCGTCGTCGTTGCCAGGCAGGAATTCCAATTCTTTGTCCAGTTTTTGGAGGGCTATTTTTACCATCAACTTTGTCCGCTTTTCTTTTTCCTCCCTGGTTTTCTTTTCTTGCAGTTCTAGTTCCTCCACAGCACATGTATCCTTAACGTAAAAAAAATAAAATAACAATAGAATAAAACACAGTCAAACCTGTATTAAGGGGTCACTTACCAAAGTCCCGGATTTCATTTCCCTTATTTCATTTATTTCTGTAAAAGCTACCTGTGATAAGCGTTCACCTTTCTCCGAGGTCCCAACGAGTTAATCTTTATTGTTCTCACCTCAGGTTACTTTGTCAAGAGCGGACTTTTTACTATCGCAATAGAAGCAACGAGAAGAAAAAACTCTTAGCGAGGCAAGAGCCATTAGGCCCTATCGTGGCTCTTGCTTGTAGTCAATTTGCTTGTAGTCAATTTGCCGTGTATTGGATATTGAAGGTTTTTTCACCATCCTCATTATTTCCCTTGGGGAATGGCAAACTGTCTATATAAAATTCATCTTAGCCGCAGCCCACTGGGCAACCAGAATAAAATTATTGTAGTAAATAACAGGACGGTGCATTCTTACTAAAAAATGTTAATGCTCTGTACAGAATGTCCAATGTCAATTTCATCGAGGTATATACAGAGCTTCCATTAAGAGGCGGAGGCCGGGGATTTCCCCGGGCTACTGTTAAAGGAAAATAGAAGAAAAACAGAACCAAACGAAATCCCAAGCTGTTTGATTCCCCACCTACTTGTTGTATTCACCCGGCATCTTGAAATCTTAGTGACAACCCTGTACATACGGACTGTATATTGAAAAATTTGGGACTGAGTCCATGATGTAATGTATGATGTGCTAACGCTGGACAACATTTAAAACCAGGACAAGGGGCCGAAGACAGTTTCGCTACCGTAGAAAGTAAGGATCTGTGGAACAATTAGTAAATGCTGTACTGGTGTTTTGTCAGTTTTATTTTACCTTTAAATCCTCAAATTGGAAGCGCGCCACATTTTCCCTTGTCAAGGTCACGAATTGCGTTAATCCATGTAAATGAGGCCATAGGGCCGCTGTCAGTGGTCGGTAGTCGAAATAATCTTCCTCTAAGGGTACAATCCCTCCATGAAACTCCCATTTCCAGGGAAAAGGATGGCTTTTCTCTAAAACAGAAGCATTTGTTAACATTTTAAACAGACAATATAATTACGGCTCATCTTCAATGAAAGAGAATGGGGATAGGTCCCATTAACGTTTATCCTCGGGGGGTACTCCCCAATAAGAGTAACGTGGGTGCTCGTCGGAAAATTTCGAGAACACCCCTAAAAGGTACCAGAATCTTGTTTTATGGGCGTGTCCCAAATTCATTTCCACCCATAAGAGGTACCAATTAAATAAACACAAATTATAGAACTGGCACTGCAAATTTTAATAGTAATAAAGATAACTTTCGAACATTTTCTTTTCAAGGACTTTTTACCGAGGCAACTCTGGCAGCAGTCATTTAGGTTTTAGCACCCTAAGCGGTACCAATCCACAAAGGTAAACCCCTAAAAGATACGACGAGCACCTCGGTCACTTTTATAGGGGAGTATCCTCCCCGAGCGTTTATCCTCTCAGACTGGCAACCATGATACAGGAGGTACCGTGGCGAGCGGTTAGAGCGCTGGACTTGCAATTTGGAGGCCCCGAGTTCAAGTCCCACCCTGATCGCCAGTTAGATTTGTTCTTGGTAGTCCCGAGTTCAAATCCTCGACCACGCTTGTACATAGCTAACTGACTTGCCTCCCCGGCCAGTTGGGATTCTTAACGACCCTATTATGTTTGGATTAAATTATTTGTTTCAGGCATTTGCTCGGCCCTAGTAACATCAGTGTTATAAATATTGCCGCGAGTAAATAACAAAAATTTTATTTATTTATAATGAAAAAAATGGCATTTAAATATGATCTAATGTGGACATTTTTTAAATTATCTAGAACGTATGGGTAAAAGAAAACTAACTGATACTTTGGCTTTCATCTCCCTGTTTAAAACAGACCAACAGAGCCTTAAACAATGTTTAATGCTATCATGTTGTAAAAGCTTTAAATCAGTTGTAATTTTCAGTGCATGTCCACTAATCAGTCATTATTGGTTAGGGTTAACTATAGACTGAAGATATTCATCGTCCGCTAAAGCATGGCTCTAAGAATTTACTATAATACCACTTACCTGGTTGTACAAACTTCACCATCCAGTCAAATCCTGGACTTTCATTGGACAAGACTATATTCGGTACCAGTCTTTCTTTTAGTAGCTTCTTAAAGAAGGCGGCCCACAGCTCATCAGTGACGTAATCGTGTTCACTTGAGTGCAGCCCAAACACATACATACCAGCCGCCATGAGCTTAACCTCCACATTTTCTATTTCTTCCCTGCGACCGTTTTTGTCTTCTTCGAAAACCGCCAGAATCCTGTTGTCCACGGACAAGGCACATAGCACAGGTTTTTCGGAATGAAAACCGTTGGGTGCATAGCATCCTAAAGAGAAGGGAAAATTTACTTAACATTCAGCTTTGCTACAAGGCCCTAAAACACTAAACTGCGAGATATAGGCTCCTACTCACAGGCTCCTGACAGGAAACGTGGTAGACCTTAAGGCGTAGTGTAAAAGCCTTCTTTTAGCAAACTGCAGTCCGTTGCGTTAAAATTGATTAAGAATTAACAACAGCTAAGACCAAATGTGTCGTGGGTAATCTTGCGGTAATAAAAAAGAATTTTGAAAGTTATAGAAACTATTCCTTTACTTAAGTTTGTCTTTTGGTCGAGCTTTATGGGGGCGAAAACCCCGGTGGTGTGGTACAACCGTTCATGGGCGGGGTGAATTGATATCAATTGGGACGCAAGTCCTCTTTCATCCGCTGTCACCGTGGCGAATTCAGTAACGAATAATACCTTTTTGAGACTTGAAATGCCCTTCTATCGGCCTTTTAGTCTGCAAACTTTAACAGGGGTCCATGATTACCTGTTTGTTTAGTATGCCTGTTTTGAGTCTTTGGTTGAATTAGTACCATAATTTCTTTCTGGTATTGTAGGAATTTTTCTGTTGAGAACTCTCTCACAATTCAAGTGACTACGCGCACAAGTTCAATAAAATAGGCAAACAATGTGTTTGCTGCTGAAGTGACCTGCGTATTCAATTTGTCTTCCATCATTTTCGTATGATACTATGCATAAACCGAGTAATCATAACCCAGAGATTCGAAGGAAAGCCCTCACTACCCTCGGATACGATATTGCAAACCCAAGAGATCTCTAGAGCTCGTTTGTCCCCGTACCGTCCCCATAAAACGCCTTAACTAACCTGGAATTCGCTCAGAGCATAATTTCACGTTTTCCAAAAATCGATTTTCCCATACAGCTACAAACTTCTTTGGTTGATCTTTATCCTTTGGGGTTGCTTCCGAGCTCTAGATTACGAAAACAAGAAATTATTCAACTACCAGGTAGCAGCAGTTATCTGTGGACTGATTACCAGCTGGAAAGACGGTTTAAACTAAACACACTAAACAATTTACACCTGAATTTATGTAGTATTCTAAACTACAGAATGAATCAGGCAGACCAACATACGTAGTTTAGCCTGTAAAAGCATATTCAAACAATTAACAAGAACATGTGCTCAGTTTTACTATCCAATGTTCCCTAGTTATCAGCAAATTTTACACTGTTCAAAGTTCTCTATTTTTTCGTAAGATGGACAGGATCGAACGCTTACCGGATTGGGCAGCCATCTTGGAGACACAAATCGACGATTTTACGGAAAAAATTGGGGACTGTGAACAGTTTACGCAAATTATTGTTGAATGGATCTTAACCATAATGCAAATCTACCTGTAGTTAAGAACCAGGTCAATGAATAAAATCTGAAAAATCAAATCAAATCAAATCAAAAAACATGAATTCCTCGCCTTGCTCTTGTACAGTTTTTCAGTCCTTTCCCGGCATCGTTGTTCCTTGCGCATCAATTGCTTGACTCTCCTTTTAAGGTCTCCCAACTCTATTTGATTGACAGCTTCCTTTACAGCAGACACCTGCTTCTCCATCACCTCTAAAGTGGTCTGAAGACTAAAGAGGTCACGTGTACGTACATCGGTTCCGTCAACTTTTACGGAACCCTTGCCGAGCGCGAAGAGGATGTGCTTCCATTCGTCCCACAGAATCCTTAGGTTTTGAGTCATTTTTTTGAGAAACCTTTTACTATCTGCAGATTCGCGCTTGCTGATGTACCCAGAAACCTCCAGAGTGGAAGAAGACCATAGGTTTTGAGTTCCTTTCGTTGTTTGATTGTATCCCGAAGCTTGAAGCTGAGCTATGAGAGTTTGATTCTCTTCCAGAGATAAGATGTGAGCTTGAATTTTTCTGTGCAATTCCGGATCCACGGCGACGTGAGCACTCTTTCGATCACTTTCTTCAACAGCCGAGTGAATTGAAAAGATTTGCTGAACAACGCCTTGTGTATGAGAGGCGAGGGTTGGTTTGACGGCAGACCGGGACAGCCAACGCCTTAACAACACCAGTAATGGTTCAAATACCTCATTGTGGCGCAATATGTGTGGAAGGTTTTCATGTAAATAGGATGACTGCCTTGTTGCACATGATTGTCCTCTAGATTCTGCGTTAACTGCAGGGCTTGCTTCGCCACCACTGACTACTCCAGCATCAGACTTATACTGTTTTCCAAAGACTTCAGTAAAGAGAGCCTTAAGCACATCCTCGTGAATCATGTACAAATCTCCACCATTTGGTCTTTTTTTTTCTTCCCTTTTATATGCTTTACAAAGCTCATCACAGGCTTCAACGACTATTTGCTTGATAGCAGCGTCCTTTCGACTTTCCTCGGGTTTTCGAAGTCTCAACATGTTAATGAATTCACCTAGCAATCTTGCCAATCGAAGGCGTTCCTTGGTTGATGGCTCCTTGATGCCTCTTTCCAAGGTAATAGTACCACCAAAATCATGTTCAGGAAAAATGCAACTGTTAATTTCTTCAAAAATTGCTGAACCGATCTGCTGTGAATTAGAATTCAGGTCAACAATGGCATCAACATCTCGTGACGACAATTCCTCAAACGGCGTCGTCAGGAACGCTACACACCAGAAGTCAATGACATGGGAAGAAAAGCCGCTTGCTATCATCTTCTCTCGCCATTTGGGTAAACGGTTAAAACCATACTCGTCTTGTGGATCGCGTAATAAAAGCAGTTCCTTGAACTTGGCCATGAGCGAGTCACTGGAGTCTAGGCAGAATCGGCCAAACGCTTTAAGCAATTGCCAAACAAATTCACTCTGGGAAGGAAGCTCTTCCTCTTGACAAACTAAATGCATGCTTTCTACAAGCCTCCTCACCTGATCTTGATTTGACCAGGACGATACGACGTCTGCTAGTGTCACAGCTGCAGGCATATTTGTTTGAAAGAGGTTTAGAATCTGTGTCTGCACGCTGATCGGCAATCGTCTCTCTAGAATGCCAATCAAATGCTTCAATTGCGGTTTAACCAAGAGAAAGCAGGGATCTCGATGCCAAACAGGGGCAATTGTTTCCGACTGCGTTGTTCGCATCTTTTCTAGTGTGGCACTGACAACAGCTTGAAACTTTAGCAAGTCTTCCTTTCCATTATCGTCTGCCTCGCACCTCTTCTTGCAGGCCATGAGAATAACTTCCGAGCATTGGTAGACGTAGTGACTATCAACTTTAGCCCAGTGAAGCATTATTTCTGTCGATGACGCCTCCGATGCGATGGACAGGAAAACTTTCAAGTAGTCGTCGCATAAAGTCAAACTCTTTGCACATTCATCCCTGCAGAAGAAACGCTTATGCCCAAAAGAAAGATTCCAAAGCAAAGATACAACTTCAGCAAGGTCTTCCTCTTTCCTGAGCGTACGTTTAACGTGTTCAATCATTTTCAGGGCAATCGTTGCTGGTGTTAAAATTTCTGATTCAATTGCTAGAGATGAACTTCCTTTGTTTCCTTCTGCAGAACCTGCGTTCAAAATTTCGTCTCTAGAACTGCTTTCTGTTTCTAACCTCGTCTCATGGGCAATAAACTTGAAACAACCTTCGTGAATGTGTACGTCAGAGAAAGTAAAGCACCTAAGTCGCTGATCATGTCGAGAAAGAGAGCTGGAAAGTTCGTATGCCAGAACAGCTTCGTCAGTTGAAAGAGAAGAATTGAGAACAAGCAACTCGAGATCACAGCATGCGATTCGTCTTCTAATATGGTCGTAGCTTAATGTATTGCACAAGGTCTGCAAGTTGGTTGTCTTCTGCAAAATGACTTGTCCTCGATCTATCAGTTCGCATCTTTTTGGAGTGTCAGCGATAGAACTGTACACTATCCAAAGAAGTCGTGGAACCTCCAAGTAAGAGAGAATAGGGAAATTTGGTAAGAACCCCCAGTTTAGTACAACGTCGCTCAGAAATCTTGTTCTCTCTTGTTTTGGTACCCGATTTTCTAGGAGATAGCGAAAACTATCAATGATAAACGTGTCTAGTTCTGGAGAGACGCCCCGAGCAAAGGTTACCACTTCCTTCAATAGCTCTATGAAATTCTTCACTGAATTTGACTCTTCTGCAGCTACTTTAAGAATGGCTACGACATTATCAAAAAAAGCTTCGTCTAAGTGCTCTTGTGAACCAATGAAATTATAAATGTCAGCCAGTTTACCGCTTGAACAGTAGCCAGATGTCATCGTGGAGAACAGGGAGCATAACGAATTGTTGAGACCTATGGGAAGTCTTGATAACTGAGACATCATGGCTGGATTTTCCAGAATAGCTTCAATCTCATTTAATTCCAAACGCATGACGTCTTTGTTGACTGTTTTGTCATCGTTTTGCAACTGAGAAAACGGTATCATATTACATAATACATTTACCACTGTCTCTTTTGTCAAGTTGCTTGGGTCTCTCACAAAAGTCTCACACACTTTTTCGACTAGTGAAAGTTTCTCTTGGAAAGTTAATACATTTGACTCTACGACTTTTAACAGAGATGAAATAAACGTTTGTTGTTGAAACTCAACCTCGTTACCAGGGTTCTCTGCTACTCTTTCAACAACTTTCACAGCGCTTTCTCTTACTTGGAAATAGAGTGCTAACATTTCGGTTGGAGAATTTACTTCTGGTGCATGTTGAAAAACAGGTAAACACCACTGCGACTCAATCTCTTGGAACATACCCGACGATATTAACCTGGGAACTTCAGAGCAACATAAATGGACGATCACTTGTGGTGAATTAAGTACTGAAAGTTGTTGCGTGTAGAACTGCAGACACATATCTTTGTCTTCTCTTAAAACATCAAAAAAGGCTGAAAAAAGAAGGTCAAAATATTTATTTTCTTCCTTCATGACCAAATGGGGGCGTCTTTTCACCAGTTGCAAGATTTGTATACCACACGACAAACCTTTTCCGGTTTCCTTTGACCTCTGTAGTACTTTTACTCTACGGTCACCTGAAAGTGGACAGCTTGATACTAGTGAAAAGAGTCGGAGAGTATCTGGAGGAATCGTCTTCGCAATAGAACAGCGCCTAACAAGAAGAAGAATTTCAGAAAAAATTTCATCTTTAAGCTCCAGATTTTGGTCTGATGCTAGACCTTTAACAACTTCTTGGAAAACGTTTTTAACTTCTCGTTCCTTGAAGAGTTTTGCCAAACCAATAAAGTTCCTAATCAGTTCCTTTTTAATAATGAAATTCTTGTGTTGACCTAGACTCAGCTGTTTGATCACGTAAACTGAAAATTGAAAATCCTGTATGGAAGAAATCTTATCCAGTATGCAGGACATAAGCAGAAACATCATCTCTCCTTTCATTTCCTCAGTGCAGCACTGTTGGGCAATCCATTCTAAGAAGTTAAGAATTAAGCGCAGTTCATCGCCGCAAGGCCTTATCGGGCGCCTTAGGTCCAAGTAAAAAGAACAAAAAAAGTCATCTTCCAGCCGTTCGACGGCTTTATTGATAAGTTCTTGAGCTTTTTTAATAAGATGGACTAGTACATCTTGACGACTTTGATACGATTCTGGAAAGATCTTTAAAAAAGATGCAATAAAAGGACACCAAAACGTTACCAGTGGTTTTAAAGACTGTGGGATCCGAAGGCAAGTCGAAACCACAAAGTCCACTGTTTTTGCAGCGCTTTCTGCTAAATGACTTTGCTTCTCGCTTTTCGATCCTTGTAAAAGCAGACCAATCAAATGTGAGAGGGCTATGTAATCTTGATTTCCGGGAACATTCTCTTTCCAGAATTGCAACAATCTGTTGACAAGTCTACCGTCTGGGTATAACTTTAAAGCTTCAAAGACAAGTTCAAAAGCATCTGCTTGTGGAAATTCAGGTTGCAAAGACTGCTCATTAATCTTCAGATTCTGCAATGATGGCCCATCTTTAAAATACTGGTCAAGAATACCTTTTAAGACTCCATTGCTAACACTGATGTTTGCAAAAAGCTTAAGAGATGTCATTCTTAATGATGGAGGGGAAGGATCACAATTAAAATGATGAATGTGACCGCATAAAATACGCAGCCTTTCCTCGTCCAAGGGTAGAGTAACTGCAATATTGCTGCTTTTCAAGTTTTCCAAGACTTCTGCAAAATAACAGACTTTTGACTCGTAGACGTTAATTGGTTGAAGTAACGGAACAGGGGAATAAGGATGTAACACTATCTGGTGTTGTTTTATACAACATGGATCGTCCATCTTGGCTAAGGCGCAAGCGAAATCATTGCTGACGTGCTCAAATTTCAGAAGTTTTACCCAGTTTGACAACAATACTGGTGTAACCACGTGGTCACTGCGCCAACCGGCCACTTGCTCTCCAATGCAGGATATTGATGCGTCTTTAGAAGCAAACCGTATCGTTTGATCGACAATTTCGGCTAGGTGACCTTGATCTCTTCTCGTTTGAAATATCGCAAGTACCTCATCAAACAAACTTTTGGCCCCTTTGATCCGTAAGTTAGGATTAGCCACTTGCGTAGTGTTGTCACAAACAATGGTGGCGAGCTTTCCGGCCTGGAAAATCTGTACAAGCTGGAGCAGTTTTGAAAGTATCGCAGTAGAAAGGCACTGCGATGAGTGCTCAGGGAAACAAAATTTTAAGGCCTTGGCGAAGTAATCAAACGCAATCCGTTTTTCAACGTCAGTCGTATAACAGGACGAGAAACAAATGTCGAAAATATTTATCACTTCCTCACAAAATTGTGAATTTTCCGTGGAAGAGTTTTTCCGTTCAGCAACACCAAACTTGAAACACTGAATGACATGTCTGGCCTGTATGCGCCGGACTGTTTCGAAGAAGGCAGACTTTTGGCCGTCGTCTCGAAAAGGAAGAACTTCCAGTTCTGCTAGGGCTGTTTTAAACTCATCGTCGGCAGGAGTGTTACTGGGAACATTTAACCTCTCGCCGACGCTTTGTTGAGGATCAATGTCAGTCATTTTCAACAGGTAATTGTATCAATTTTCATGGAATTAAAAGTTCTCAAAGAAGGAAGGAACCAGGTCTGCGGAGAAGATCAGAAAAACTATTATGACATTAGCTGTTCTTTTCTGTTGTCTTTCTTGTTGTTGTAACAACGTAACACAGTCACCAGTGCTTGGTCTTATAATACTCTTTCTTATGAATGTCGCTTGTATTTGTAATGATAGTTATATTATATGTAGATTTTCTTTTTTAGATTATTAATGCTGCACATGAGTTAACACCAGCAGTAGGCTGATTCATCATGCAGAATAAAGCTTTTATTATTATTGTTGTTGTTTTTACTAACTAGACTTTATTTTCTGTCATTTAAATACCCTGTCATTAACAAGTAAATTCAGGCTGTTCAAATTAGACAAAATGTTATATGGCTCTTGAAAATATTCATAAAATTTTGAAAATATTCATAAAAGTTTTGAAAATGATGTAATGACAGAAACATACAGAAAATTACAGATATTTAATCCGCTAAAATTTATTAAAAAAATTTATGACGGAAAAAAAAAACGAAAAAAAAAGCATTTTAGAGACATTGTAGAACAGACATTACCTCAACTACTATAAAACACATTTAATCTTTTACATCACAAGGGAAATCCCCGTTTATCAACCACCTGTAACTTTCTTTGTCTTTGTCGAATATTTAATGATTTCCAGAATTTACCTAATTTATCTCTGAATAAAAGGCGAAGCCTCAGATATCCTAATTTTTTTTTCAAACATTTTGGGCATCTTGTCTTATTTTAAACAGCCTGAATTTCCGTTAGTTAATGACAGGGTACTTAAATGACAGAAAATAAAGTCATATTTTCTTTTTCTAAAATTAAAAATGTGGAAAATGACGGTGGAGGGATGATGAAACACAAAATTAAAATAATAAAATTTAAAAAAATGGATGACGGAAAAAACCGGGAAATAATTATCTCAACTATCATAGTTTTTGGAGAGCATGGTACTGGTGGTTCATATAGCCAATCGAAGTCTAGAATGGCATTATCCAATGATTTATAATAACTAGTAATAGTTGACACTACAGCTGCCCCCGTTCTGTACATTGTCGGTCAATAGTACTATTGCTCGTTGTGTAGCTCTTTGAAATATACCGATTCATAATGAAGATTTTCACACATATTCAATACAATAGGTGAGATAAATACAGGAAACGCAAGGTTCCATGCACAGTTTCAGCTCGATTTACACAGCTTTGATCAAAACATTCTCAGTTTCGAGAATAGTTTATTCTAAACCATAAGAAAAGATTTAATTAAAAGTTGAATTTTTCGCTATTTCTCTTTCACTTTTTACATTCAGTTCATTTTATTTGTCGGAAAGTAAGCCTTAGAAATTAAAAGGACGTTTGATCGATTCACGCTCGCGCATTCTAGTCTTATTTTAAACTTTATAGCGGAAGGACATCTGTGAGCAGGGAATATATTAAGTCAGCACAGAATGTGAAGGTCGGCGAATTCCTGTAATCGTCCATAGTTCTGCTAGTGATAAGCTAGCCGTTGAATCATTCACTCGTCTAGCTTGTTTTGGGCCCAGTCTTATTCAGGTCAAAGAGAGAGAAAGTGTGTCTGGCAAGGTTCAGCTGAAGATTTTCAATTAAAAATGTGTAAACTCGTGTCTGGCAAACTCACTTAGTGTTAAAATATACACTGTTCTACGCACCTTATAACTTCATCTGCGCTTAACGAGTGTCTTTTGGTCCATAACTTTCATAACAACTGCTCCACAGAATGTCACTGATAACACGTAACGCAGAAGAGTATCGAAGAACGACTGCACAATTAATGTCACAAAATCTACCTATTCAAGGTAAGCTTTTTGTGTTTTACGTCATCCTATCCATTTCGTACTTGTGGGCGCAAACAATAGAAACGTCATCATTACGTACCGATTCCTCGCGGCCCCTGTTCAAGCAAATCGAGATTTTTTTCTATATTGACTGTATGACTGTATATTTCAAGTGTAAGTACTTTCCTTAATATACGCGCGAGTTACTAGAGTGCCTCCTCGGGGTTTCGCCTTCTGGGCAAAATCCCTGCGGGGGCAATAATAATCACAATAACTTTAATGCAATACATCCATTATGTGCGTCTTCGCCTGCACCTCTAACGAAAATTACAAAATTAATATTGTGATTAAAAAAAAACTGTATAAGTACACTGAGATATAATGGGATAATAAGGATTATATTTACTGTTAAACCTCCACTAAAAGAAGAACACGTTGGCAAAACTGTATGACAACATAAATAGTGATCAAATAGAATCTACGAGGTCATCTATAAAAAAGGCCAGAACTGATTTAGTCTTTCTTGGAAGAGTAGTAGGAAATAAATTTCAATCCTTAAAGAAATAGTGGAAAGAGGCCGCGAATGACTGTGCGGAGTATCAATCTGCCTTGTTTACAAATGGTCACTGTTGACCACAAATTTTAAGAGTTTGTACTGGTTGTCCAAATAAAGCGTCAAAGACCTGAACCGAAGTACGTACTTCACGTGTTAGAAAACTCAAAATTGGTTTATTTCCCGTAAATGTTTCATCTACAAATGAATCAAGTGGGCTTACATCACGTTGGGCTCAGTCAAGGCCCCTGATCCTAAAAATAATCAGTTATTCGGTGTCTCGCTTTCCGCTTTCTTTCCTTTCAATTATTCTTTATTTTTTTCCCAACCCCATGCACTTCTCGTGTCAGAGCTCTGTCACGCGCCACCCTTCCGTTGTCGAAAATTTCGCAAAAAATGGAGAAGAATGATGTGAATGAACAATAATGATATTATTCTTCTAGCTTATAAGAAATTACAGAATTTTCAAGATAACCACCAGTTTATAATCGCAGTAAGCGAACTGCCTCGATTTTCCTCGCTTGGTGTTTAAAATTGTCGCCTCCTCGAGGAAGGAGCGCGGCCCTTTTCCCAAACAGTGGCTGGTAATCGAGCTACGACATGGCGAGAGTTCTGGGAACAGACGATTGGCTTTAAAGTTCCTAGTCAAAAATATTTGTATATTTAATGTAAGAAATAAAGATGTTGTTGTTGTTGTTGATGTAATATTAGTATTGTCACGGTTTTCGACGCCATCTTGACGAGTAGGCAAACGCGTGAGAAATTACAGTGTTTGTATCTGATGTCGAATAATTTCCGTAAAACGGCTGTTCTGAAAAAAATATGAATTGTAAACTAAAGCTTCACTCCTAAGAAATCTACTGAAAAAAATTGTGGGCGTTACATGCGCTAGAAGACCTAGGACCACTTTTTAAAATTTTCTTTACATGTCTGTAAGAAAGTCCAGGGAAAAATTACAGACAAATATATGGAAAATCTAAAGCAAGCCTCTGGAGAAATTTAGCACAGGTACGCCCCCAAACTTTTTTAGTACACTTCTTTTTTCAGAACAGCCGTTCTACGGAAATTATTCGACATTAGATTCTCATACAAACACTGTAACTTCTCACACGTTTGCCTACTCGTCAAGATGGCGTCGAAAACTGTGACAAGGTCTATTGTTAAGTGAAGGTTTTACTTCTTATATGCTTAAGATCGAGGACCAATCATCGAAAATGGGATTAGATAGCAAACGATTGACTAAGAAACCTCCTTACCTTTTTACTTTTCTTCTATTTCGACGTCTAAGAATATGTGCTTTGATAAGCGTTTTCAGTTCCGAGAAATTTACCGGAAATCGAGCGAAAACAAAAACATTTCTTGGAAAACCAGCCTCTTTTCCGAGGACACTGGGTACGGGCGCCTCTGTTAAATACAGCCGCTAAAGGCTGGTTTCACTAGCGACGGAGTCGGAGTCGAAGTCGTAATTGGAAACGTAGAACTTTACGATCAAGTAAAAAACTGGGTCGTCGGAGTCGCAAGCAGAAGCGGAAGAACTAAACCAATCACCAATTCAAGCGTGGTGATTGGTTTATCCTTCCGCCTCTGCTTCCCACTCCGACAATCTGGTTTTCACTAGATTATAAGCGGAACGTAAGGGGCGGAGTAGTCGTAGGCGGAGTTGAAAGAAAATGAAAACGTTCTGATTCTTCTGAATCCGATTCCTTTGCGTTTATGACTCCGCTTACGATTCCTGTTTTTGATGTTCACTGGGTCGTAAAGGCGACTCCGCTTACGAGTCCGACTCGACTCCGTCCGGCTAGTGAAAACCAGATTAACAACACTCACCAAGCAGCCACCCTCCAAAATAGTTTTTTTTCCCTAGCAGGGGTGACCCCTCAAAATCTTTTTGAATAGCCTTAATTCCTTCAGCTCGATGATATTTTAAGCATTAACCAATTGTATCAGTGATGTCTGTATGTGTTACTTTCAACTTCAAAAGTCTAAAAGTAATCTGCCCTCCGAGGCTACCCCTCAAAATCTTTTTGAATAGCCTTAATTCCTTCAGCTCGATGATATTTTAAGCATTAACCAATTGTATCAGTGATGTCTGTTTGTGTTACTTTCAACTTCAAAAGTCTAAAAGTAATCTGCCCTCCGAGGCTTAGCTTTCCTAGTCGTACTTTGACTTGATCTTGTTGTTCTACGTGCATCAAGAATATTCAAAACTTTCGAAATGGCAGCTATTGGAATATTATAAGTTTTGTGGGAAATTTGAGCTGCCTGGCTGCATACTAATACCTCTTTTTATACCTCTTTTTATCTGACCTATTTTAAAGCAGTCGGGAATATATATAGGTAAAATATATATGTAAAATTCCCGACTGTAAAATCAGCCTTGATTCTTTTGTTTTATATTTTCACTTGTTGCTGATTAGATCCTTTATTAGGATCCGGTTCTTCGCTTTTGTAGGCTGGTCCTTGCTTCAAAAATTGAATCTATTTTATAGCAGACGATTCTGCTCTCTTGTGCTAAGGATTTTAACTCCCACAAACGGGGTATTTTTCAAAAACATCCGTCTTAGACCGCCGGCCTCTGACTTTGCGTCCATGACTTTAGGGTTATAGGGATGCAGGATGCAGCGGTGACAAAATCCCTGATGATGATGACGATGATGATGATATTAATAATTACACTCAATTTATTGATTTTATGTCCTGGACTGAATAATAGCTAATATTGAGAGCTAATAATAGCTAATATTGTTTAGCACGACTTGGTTTCAGACGTCGAATTTAACTCATTCGAATAAAATGGCTGTTGCGGAAAACAAAACTAAAAAATAAAAAGCGGTTTAGTGAACTTTTAAAATGTGTTCTAATGTATTTACACTAGTTTATGAATTGAGTTTGGCACGGCAAAGCAGCACGACTTGGTTTCAAACGTCGCGCTACTGCCGTGCTAAAGTCGAATTTAATTCGATCAATTTAGTTCGGCACGGCAGTAGCCCAACGTTTAAAACGGGTCTGAGCCTTGTATTGATCATGAAAGTCAAAACAAATTCTCCCACCATTTATATCTCTCTATAAATTATATGAAATACCCTTCGGTATTTTTTTTTCCAAGTACACAAAGAAATTGGAAAATAACTTGGGTTTTGATATTTACATGTATTGCCAACAGAATTTATCATCGTTCTACTGATTCACTACACCGACGGCAGACGCCAGGCCCTGGCTATAGTGCCGAGTGAGTGGGTGCTCTCACGCAAAATCGCTGACTGTATTTCCTGTCGGAAACGGTTGTGAACAATACGCTCCCGAAGAAATTAAAGAACGCCTGATCAAAGGTAAAAGTTGTTGCCAAATGGATTACAAATCTCCCTCGATCGGCTATATTGCTTGACGGATAAAAAGTACTCTTCACCTAAAACACGGCCGTACCTTTCTGTGTTTCCTCCATGTTTTCGGCTATTCTGATTTCCTAAGCTTTGCTTATCTATATGTCTTGGGATTTGATATTTACTCGTATTGCCAACACCATTTATAATCATTCTATTGATAGATGGCAGTACTTTCACTAGTGCCAGCTAAAGCCAGGGCTCCGTGTTCTCTCGCAAATCGCTGGCGGTATTTCGCGTGTAATACGGTTTTGATCAATGGGGAAGGCCTAATCGCAGGACAGAGTCAGGTCGTACCCGAATAGATAACGACCCTCGATTGGCTCTAAAAAGACTAATGTTCGAAGGAACAAAACATATTTTTTAAACCCACCTTACCTTTCCTTGTTTCTTCCACGTATTCAGCGATTTCTGCTTTTCTAAGCATTATTCTTTCCGGGAAAATAACCGGAAACAGGACAACAGAGGTGAGGTTTGCTTGAGACACCGCTGACAAATTTGCGCGGCTACACAGCTGAACGGACGCGTGTCACAAAAAAATTACGGTGAAGGTCGTTCGAAAATGTAATTAATTCAATTGCACGCCCAATTTTACGGTATTTTTGGACTCAATGAAACTCACCTAATAGATTCATAATTTTTCTTTAGTTAAACAACACATTTTTCGAGAAATGGATGATATATCTAGGTTATTTGGGCTAAGTTTTTGTATGCTTGTCGGGTGCTATGTCGCCGGTGCTATTCCACTCGCCTTCACGATGTCTGAGGTAAAAATTGTGTGATGTTTATTATTTATTCTTTTACGGGTCCTTGTTATATGCGATGGCTCTGCAATTGCTAACTATGATTTTTGCACACAATTCAAATAATTCTCTGTATTGATGTTAAAATTTGTGACATGGTGAAATAGGTAAACTTCATTTAACTTAGAGATGTAAATGGTGTACAGTGGAGATCGATCTTCTAAAGACGTTAACAGCGTAATTAAATACGTAGCCTGATAGTTATTCGTTTGATTTTTCGTGTTTTTTAAGTAGCTAATAACATTCTAAGTTCAAGATTACACTTAGGCAAAATTATCCACAATGCGTAGGGGCTACATACAGAACATTTTTTTGAATATGCATTTGTTACGTGTAATTTTATACAGTGAGACCTCAATGTAATGATACCCTTTATAATGAATTATTTGGTATAATGGACGAAATTCTTTGTCCCAGTAATGGTAAAATGTATTTTAAAGAACCTCAATTTAATGCCTTGGCCCGGCATTGTTACATCAAGGTTTCCATTGTTCTGACTGGTCCAGAAGCCTTCCATTGTGACCATGCTTGCATCTTTGTTATGATGTTTAGTTGTTTTGGGTTTTTCAATTTCTGTTGTTATGCGGGAGTCTACAGTACAGTGTACTTCCATGCAGTGTGTTTCTGTGCATCCCTTCAATAACTGAAGACACGCATGGAAGGTGGCTCTAAGTAACATTTGATCTCATTTCAAAATCTCCCTTTGCTTTACAAGATAACATAATTGTATTTAAATAGAGAATCTAGCAGTTAATTGGACTTTACTTGACACTTTTTCCCATCACTCCTTCTTACATGTCAAAGTATGAAAGGAGGAAATATTGAGAAAATTTTAAAATTGAATAATAATTGACAAGATAAACATGCTTCATTCTAATTTTGTTATTGCTTGTTTTTCCTGTTGTCTTAAACAGAAACGATTGCGGATGATAAGCATACTTGGTGCTGGTCTTTTGGTAGGCACTGCACTTGCGGTCATTATTCCTGAGGGTGTTCATGCTTTATATGAATCACAGGAACATGGTGAGCTCCATTGCAAACTGAGGGCTGGAAAAAAAAAAACTTGAATTGCTGCTCGTCCTTTGGGCAAGCAGCTCTCACATTTTGCTTGTTGTGGCTAATGATTTAGTTGGAGGATGACTTGCCTCACTCCACTGCCTTTGTGCAAGTTAGCTTTAAAAGTTACTTGCCCAGTAAGAAAATCTACTCATCCCACACTACTCGAAGATAATTTTTTTAAGCCCTGTTATTACTTTCCTTTAGTAAAGATATGTATTTAGAATGTGGGGCCAATAATTTCCTACAGCATAATACTGCATACCCATTACCAAGAAGTCATTGATTTATTTAGCTTTGCCAGATATGGCCAAGACCACAGCAGATTGCAACAATCACTGTTGACCTGAAACAATTCCTTCCCTAAACAGCCAAAAAAGAATCATGTAGCTGGTCAGGGAGGCAACACCACTGGGGTTTTTATCCCCTGCACATTTGGAATCATGGCAGTGGAAGAAGGATCATGAAGCTTAACTCTGTCCTGTGTAGTTGATGCAATAGGGGGACACATTCTTAAAAAATAATCACAATCGATGTGACCTGTTCAGGTTGTCCTTTGTTTTCTTTCTTTTTTATTAACCCAGGTTGGTGATTGCAGGTTTGAAACTAAAATTTTCGAGCACTCGCCATCATGTTATGAGTGGGTGATATTAGTGGAAAAAAAAAGATAGTCCCCTCCTCAGGGCAGGGAAGTTCACTCACCAATGCCCAGGTTTTTGTTTAAGTTCATCCTTCATGTAACAATCATCAGAGCAGAAACCGTTTTATCTGTTTACAAATTAACCTGTTTTTAAAAAATACAAACCAGGGTTGATGGACATTTCAGAATGGTAAGCTTTTAAAAAAGGTTAGATTATTTTTGAGTGGAAATTGAAAAGTGAAGTGAACTTTGAATACATATATATTGTGTATATGAATAATGTACTCGGCAAACCAGGAGAGTGATCCTTAATTTTTACTCTGACATCCGCCTGCTTTGGAACTCGCCTGGGTGAGTGGGTGAGTTCCAATGCTCATCCCTGTGATTTAACCATATCATTTCTTCACACCTCTCTTTTATCTTTGACCTTATACATTCTACTTTAAAATTTGCATTTAAAATATTATTGTTTCTGCGGTTAACTTTCATGTTGTAGAATTTATTTATGTTTTTCCTTTAAAGGACATGCTTCCCACACCCACTCAGAAGACAAAGCTGCAGAAGCCTCTCATTCTCTGGAAGATACAAGCAAAGTTCATTCACACGTAGATCTTTTGAAGCATCAAATCTCTCAGGTTGAACCTGATGTATTTATAGGGCTTTCCTTGGTCTGTGGCTTTGTATTTATGTTGCTAATCGATCACATCAGTGGCGGTCATTCACATGCGCCCTCTGGATCACAAGGTAAATGATAATAATAATCTTAAATCCAACTAGTGGTCTATTATTAATGCTGCGTTCTGATTGGTTGAGCTACTACTAGGATATATGTTATAGCCCACTAGTAGCAAAAAGCACTGGCTTTGAAAACCAAAACAATGGTGGCTGAATCAAGTTTTGCTCGCTGAAGTTGTTTTGTCGCAATATTTTTGACCAACTAGTTGGATTTTACTAAAACAATTATTCCTCTCACCCTCATGGCCTCTAAGTCAATAGCCCATGAGTCATCCAAGTCATTCCAAATCTTTACTGCCCTATAGGCGAAAGATTGTTGCCCGGAAGCTGTTTTGAAAAGCTGGATTTTGTTCTCTGTAATAAGTCATAGCAAAGGTAACTAGGTGCAAGATTATTAGCGCATTTGAAAGTCATAACAGCATCTCTAAGGTATAACTGTTTTTTTTAACAGGAAGCCAGTTAATCTGGTACAAAAGTGGGGTTACATGACCCTTTTTCTCTTGATCCGGTAATTATCTTAGAACCAAGTTCTGAATTGGCTTAAAGTTTTCTTTAAGTTAGCGGCGGAAGTATTCGACCAGACTGTGGTGTTAATAAAACATCTTGCTGAACACTAGTGATGTGATCATTATTGAAAGTGTTTCCTTACCGAAGCAAAGTGATGCTGTGTCCATGAAGCTGTTTCAACTGTATTGCAGTCGTTCTGTATAAATATTATTGAAGGGGTAGACACAAGTCCACCACTTGCAAAGGTTATTGAACTCATGATCACATGGTGATTACACATTGTACAAAATGTGTTGGCCTGTATACGTGTGGTGTGTTGGGTGTGGATTGTAGTGGAGTTGGTTAGTGTGGCTTGGTATTTTCTGATATTTTCTTTTAATCTTCATTAAATACACTTTAATGGGAAAAAAAAAAGACTTTTACAGCTTCACCCATTACATGGTACAATGTTGTCCTTTTCAGGGTCTACTTTAGACACATTTACTTTTGCATATTTTATAGAAGAGCAGAAATCTAGTTTGGTGCTTTTGTGTGCTGGAATTCGTCTTGTAACTGTTTATTTATTTATTTATTCATTTTAATAAACTTCGCCAAGAGGCTGGGATCACCCAGAGCAAGCTCCTCTACAAGGTCAAGAAAAACTGTACTGGTATATCGGGGTATTCCTCGGTCACAACCTACCTTAATACACCGTTGACTCTTTTTTTTTGTATTGCAGGTGGAGATCTAGAAAGCAATGGTAGACAGAGACATAGCAAAATCACTGCCACGGTTGGCTTGGTTGTCCATGCTGCTGGTTAGGATATGTGTTATTATAAATACAATTTAGTACTTTCATGCTCTAAAGCCCCACTCAAATGGTCATCGCAATCTGTATAACATCAGATGGGCATCAAAAACTTTTTCTAACTCCTCTACCTATGACTATACTTTATTAATTGTGTGATTTTTAACAATTAATGAATGAGGCTGAGTATCTTATGAAGAATTTTGGAGATCGAGGAGGGTGTTATCCGTCGAGGCCGTAGGCCAAGGCGGATAACACCCTCCGAGATCTCCATAATTCTTCATATGATACAAAAGCCGAATTCAATAATTGTTTTATTATTTGTTCAAAATAATTCCTAGTTTAAAAACATGGCTAAAACATGCTTACCTCCATTGATCCATTGATGTTAAGTTCATCTTCAATAGTGTACGTGTAGGGTTGTTCAGCTCCGCAAATATTCTCCATATAGCAGATGTCGCCCTTCGAGTTTTCTTCTTGCTGTTCGTGCCATGTTTTCAGCTATTTTTTCGCTTAGTTCTTACTCTTGAAATGAGTGAAATGTCCGCCATTTTTCAAGTTCACAAACAAAACAACTCAACCTCATCCCCAGGTCTTCTCGGTTAACGGTGCATTAACCTGCAAGAACGCTGCATTTTTGACGTCATTTCCTCGCTAAACACAAAATTCTTCCAAATTTGGTCATCAGAAACTGGTTATGGTGAATTAAACGCGTGCTGTTAGCCAAACAGAATCGGGGAAATATTTTGAATGAATAATAATGTAAATTAAACAGTAAGATTGTTAGTTGTTGTTTTTGCAGCGGATGGTGTGGCATTAGGGGCCGCTGTGTCTACATCCAAAACAGAAGTGGAAGTGATTGTATTTGTAGCAATCATGTTACATAAGGTGGACAATGATTTTCATTTTTTATTTTTATTATTAATATTTTATATATATATATAAATAATAATAATATTTGGTACTGGTAATTGTAATGGTTTGAACATATTTTTTGTAGGCACCAGCTGCATTTGGTCTTTCAACGTTTCTTCTTCATGAAGTGAGTTTTAACATCATTTTCAATATTTACTCTATCATGAATTTTGCCTTTCCTGTTTCTTTCTTTCCACATTACATGTACATGTCAAGGAATATTTATTCTTTATCAACTATAATCTTATGTTACACTTCCCTTTTTGTACGTATTCTAGCCCCCCCAAAAATCACGCCTTCACTAAAAATATTTTTGATACTATAATAGTTGTAGCTGGGCATTATCGTTAAATTCAAACATCAAGGCTTAACTGACAGACGACCAATAACATCGCGACATAATTGACCAATCAGATCAATAACCATTGTATAATACCATCAACTGACGTGATACAACTCACTTTGACTCTGAAGATGACTACCGCACAGGTTGTCGAAACGTCAGTCACTGTCAACAACAACAGTCCTATTCAGGAC